CCCCGCCCTGCGCGGCGCACGCCCCGGCGGGGGGCTCCATCTGCCGGCCGGCCCAGACGGGCGCTGCGTGCGGGCCTGGCAGCGCCCCCAGGAGCTGCCCCACCTCGTGCCGGCTGCCCGGTGCTGACCACCCCGCCGGTGGCTCCCTCGGGGCGGTCACAAGCAGCTGTTGCCCCGTTGCAGGCGGAACGAAGTGGGTGGTTCAGACATCTGTGCCATTTGTCCCAGGGTTCATCCCCCAAAGGTTCACGGGATGAAAAGTGCAAGCGGGTTATGCCGGGACACTGCAGAGGGCATCTGAAGGGCTGTCCTGGGGCTGCATCCACCAGGCGATGGTTAGAGCCCCCTCAGGAAACCCATCCCAGCTCTGGGCTTCCAGCCAGCTGGAGGGTGACCTGTGTCCATGCCCATGCCCAGCGCCGTACCTAGACTCTTGGCTGCCCCAGGCAAACTTAGTATCAGGCCTGCCTTCACCAGAGATAATGATGATAATTTTAAAAATTACCATTTCCAAGCCCCCTTTCTGTCTGGGCTCCAGGCGGCTGCTTGGTCACCCATGCCTGTGTCCGGCCCTGCCAATCTTAGGACGTTTCTGTTCAGAGACAAACACAAGCACAATTTGTCCCAGGACAAATGCAATGTCTGCTCCTGGCCTTACATCCCTCTACAGATGCAAAATGGCCTCCTCTGTGATGCTTTCCTCTTTTCCAGTCATTGGGGCAAGTCACTAATTATTGCCACATTTCCCAACTGCAACGCAGCAGGAAAGAAGACTGTGATGACTTACGCACAATCATCAAAAATATTGAGTCACATACAGGAGTACTGTTCAACACCTCCTTGAAATTACAGTCCCAGGTGCCTGGGTTTTCTTGAGGCACAGTAGGTGTGAGCTCTTCTAACACATTTGCACATGTCAGTCTTTCAAATGAATTTTTTTAAAACGGCTATTTAATGAAGAATTGTTCAAAGAAAGGAAGGACTAGTGCAGCAACACTCAGTCCTGAGTGGCCCCAGGGCCACACGAGCAGTCAGCATCAACTAAAGAACCATTGCAACCATGTACATCTTGAGGTGGATGTGGCAAGCACAATCCAGTGCGCAGTTGCATTATGCAAATTATGCATAATTTCAGGAAAGCTACACTTGATGCATGAAGTAAAAAACAAAACCCAGTAACGTTTTACACAGAGCTTCAAGTGGTAAATACTTGTGGCCACTTGTGACTAAGGAGTCACAGTCCAGATATCGTTGCTTCATGCTTAGAACGTAAGAATCGCAGAAAAGGAGCTTGAGATTCTGTATTGGTTTCTGCCACAAACTTTCTGTCACTTAAGTTATTTAAGTCTGCATGGTGGCATTTTACTGCTACCCTGTAGCACAGTACAAAAGCACCGAGGAGATTATGCTTCAGAAAGACACAGTCTCTCCTAGAGGGCTTTTCCTTTCATATACTGTTCCATCTACCAGGATGCAACCATCTTGCTCCCTATGCTATAGCAAAGTCATGCCCAGGCCATTTTCCTTTGCCTACCTTTTTCTGGCACACGGCATCATGGGAAGCGTGGAAGCAAGCAGTCCTCCTTTCTCCAGAATGCAGGAACTGCTATTATGGGCAAGTTCTCCAGTAGCGTTGCAAGAGGAGGGCTGCTTGCAACACCCACTGATGCCTCTCTCACAGTCTGGTTCTTCAATTCTTTGTGCTTCTATTTGCTAGTATGTAAGGTTTTAATCCTATGTAATGTTAATCGCTCACAGAGGTTTTGTGACACTGAATTTGTGGTTTGTAAAGAATTTGTGTTCTAAAATATTATATTCAATGTGCAATATTATATTCTAAAATACATTTTAAATATTCTAACAATAAAAATGCAATACAATTACTTTTAGATGCAACAGCCAGTTGTTTACTTTAGGATTACTTACCCAAACTAGATGGCAGAGTAGAAATGTACCTTATAGACTAACTAAATCAGAGATGCATAAACTTTCATGATCCAGAGCTATCATCATCAGATGCTATGAAAGGACATGAACAGATCAGGCTATCAAATACAGAGAGTTATATGAACATAAAAGACAAGAAAAGGTAGGAGGAAGGACGAACGGGGCAGTGCTAGGAGAGGCAAACAAGTAACAAACCCATTGGAACAAAGGAGTCACAAAAACTTACCTAGGTAACAGGGTAGGAATCTGTAGTCCCTGTTTTAACCATACTTAACACAATGCAGTCTGTAAATGATTTTTTGTTCCACAATTTAGCATTTGAGCCAGCTTTTAAAGTTACGCTGTATAATAACAACTACTCTGAAGTCAGTGGTGGAACGTCCAGGTACGCTGAAGTGTTCTGCTACAGGTTCTTGTGCATTTTTGGACTTGAGGTCAGATTGTTGTCCTCATATTTTTTTAATGTAGGTGTTGCCATGTGTGTCCAGTGTAGACAGTGGAGAAGAACCGTATGCAGGTAATGGCATATATGATGTTGGTAGATGTGCAGGTGAATGAACCTCAGATGTTACAATCTGTGTTATTTAGTTGAGTGATTATCTGGTCTGTATTGATGAGGGGTCACAGCTTGCATCTGGGTCTGTTGCAAGACCTGGTGCTTTAGTGAGAGTTAGAAAGCCTGTTGCTTGAGAGATGCTGTTTGAGGTTGGGCAGCTGCCTGTAAACCACAACAGGTTTGTTCCCCACGGCTACCTTGAGATGCTTGCCATTTTCCAGGAGGGATTGGAGGCCATTAATGATGTGTTCAGGGTGTTCAAGCTAGGGGCTACAGGTGACAACCAGAGAGACTATGTTGTCCTTGTCTCAGGGTTGGTATTGCAGCAAGTCAGAGTGGGGTTTAAGTCTGGTTTGTTGACTTGAATAGCTATGGTTTTGAGACTGTATTGTAATGTTAGGAATTTCTGCTCCAGATCCTTAAGGTGTGCATCCTGGTTGGTGGGATCAGAGCATATATGTTTGTATCATAGATCCTGTCTGTAGACATTGGACCTAGTGATGTGCTTGGGATGAAAGCAGGTACTGTGAAGGTAACTGTGGCAGTCAGTAGGTTTCTGATACAATTTGGAGGCAATGTGGTAATGCAGATGTTTGCTGTGTTATTTAGGAAATAGATTCATAGATTCATAGATCGAGGTCTGGAAAGGACCTTGGAAAATCATCAGGTCCAGCATCCTGCACCAGGAAGGAAAGGCAACTGGGCTCAGTTGTCTCAGCAAGGTAACCATCCAGTCTCCTCTGGATGGACTCCACTCAGCAAAATGAATTTGCTGAGTGGAGTATTCTACAGTTAGTTTGATGGAGGGGTGGGAGTTGTTAAATTTTGGTAGAATTTCTCTAGAGATTCTTTCCCATGTGTCTATATGATGAAGCTGTCATCCATGTACCTTAGACATACAGGGTGACAAGAGTGCAGCTGTAGAGGAAATGGATTTCAAGATCTGTCATAAATATACTGGTATATTGGAGGGGCCATACATGTGTCCATGGCAGTGCCATTTATTTGTAGGTATAGGGGGTCCCCAAACCTGAAATAGTTGTGTGTGAAGTCAAAGTGAGAGAATATGAGAAATAGAAGCAACATCCTCATTAGGGATAATGTTCTTTGGCTCGCAGTCTGTCCTCATGGGGGACATTCTACACGTAAAGGAAGCCAAAAGACAGATGTTACATCCATGGTAGCTAATATGGTGTTTGCTGGGAGTTTATCAACAGTGCCCAAGTTTTTAAAAAGGAATCTGTATTATTTTTTCAAAGAGCTGGCAGCTCCGGTGGCATATGCATGTAGGATAGGGTCAATGTGGCCAAAAATTCCCTCCATGATGACACCAATACTAGAGACAATGGCACATTCTGGGTTGCCAAGTTTGTAGATCCTGGGAAATAAGTAAAAGTTGCCTGGCCTGGGCTCCCAGGAGGTGGAAGCATTAACCTTCTCCTGTCTCCAGAGGCAGTGTTGTTAAGAAGTCATTTAGTTCCTCCTGGGATGTGCCAGGGGGTTCTTGGTCAGGAGTTTGTAAAACTCTTGTAACGTTGTCTCTCAGCTTCCTTTATGTATGCCATTTAGTCTCTTACAACAATGGCACCCTTCCTATCAGCTTGTCATATGATAATACCAGGGTTGTTTATAAGAATGATTATGGTCTCTGTTCTGAAGGACTGAGGTTGTAATGTGTTATTTTTTTTGGCAATCTCAGAATGAGCACGGAGGCAAAAATAGTTTATATACAGATCCAGAGTAGGCCTGTAGCTGTCCGATGGTGTCCAGGAACTGTTCTTCTTGTGCTGTCTATGAGTGCTGTGGTGATCATTGTATAGCTCCTTGTCATGAAAATATTCCTTTAGTCTTAAGTAACAGAAAAAAAAAAAGCCTTGAGGTCCCCATACAGCTGCACTTTACCGAGTTGTGTAGCATGGTGAAAAAGATCTCAGGACAGTACAACACCTCAGCTGGACTGAGTGTGTGGTTGCCTGGGTTGATGCCATTACTGTGGCTTGTGGGATTGTTGCTGGAACATGTAAATGTGTAGAGATTTCTTTCCTTCATCTTCTTTAAGGAATGAAGGTGCTTGTGAAATGTTTCATAGCTAGATGCAGAAATCTCCTCTTGGTATATGGCTGTTTTGTCTGGGTGGTTCTATGTGTTCT